GCCATACTTACTTCGGTACTATTCGCTTATAATATCACTATTCGCATATATCACGAAGTTTGAACGATAAGAAATGCCTTTAAATAAACATTTTTATCAACCAACAAACGTTTCTTCTTAACAGAACAAAGATGTGATAAGGACTATAAATTTATTATAATAATTTATTTCCTATTAAAGACGATTTAAAGGAGAAACCTAATGGGATATATTGATAATGATCACGCATTTTCGTATAATGGGCGGGCATCTTGTATGCAAAGTTTCGCGCGTTATTATGCGACGCAGCCTACGCATGTGCGGGTCGTTGACCCGTCGTCGAACCGAGTTGAGTTATTTATCTGCGGTTTAATATTTAATGTTATGGATGAATGTTATTAATATTTAAGAAGTAACAAAGTAATGGTGAGCGAATAAAAATATTCAATCATAATAAAATCCATCTTGTTTTTTTTACATCAATGATAAAGCACAATACATCTTATAATAAATAATTAACCAAAGAAGAAGATAAGAAGGTAGTCTACCTGAAAAGATACGCATTTGGCACCTTCATCTCGACAACCAATACAAAAATATATGTATAAGAATTATACAGTATTAAGACCGTACGGACAGATTATGAGCGGACAGTTATCGCTTCTAGTTTAATTTTTCTTGCCTGTTTACTCTGTATAAAACCTCGCGTGTTATCTGTGGGCTGATTTATTGACAGTAATTTTATTTCTTTTGTTAACTAACAAATAATAATCACAATATTAAATGTAACTATATCACATGATATCTAATAAATCTAGTCCACACGGCTTGGTGCCAACAACGCTAGCTGCATTTCCTCACTGAATACTTATGCTTAATATTTCATTTAATATAAATCTTGATAATGTATATCTCAGAGCAAGTATATTAGCCATAAGATTTCTTAACTTAAAACTAGAAACAACTCTTTCCTATTCAGTGAAGCGTAAAACACAGTAATTTGTTTTATTTAGAAATAAATCGTGATTCGTAGATAATGCCAAAGGAAAGGCAAGTGTTGCCCAGTTGCTTTTCTAGAGTTGTACAACTACGGTACATTTACAAATAATTTTCTTAGCAACGATATAATTTCGATACACAATTTAATTTGATTAAAATAAGATTTTTGTGAGCAACGATATAATTTTGATACACAATTTAATTTGATTAAAATAAGATTTTTAGCTTGGGACATTTTCATATATTAAACTATCTATTACTTATACGCCAAATCAGTTTGAACGATTTTTCACACGAAAGCTTCAAATATGTCTTAAATTGATATATTATGAACTTATAACAGTTTTGGAAAAGCTTGTTTTTACATTAAAAAAAGTAATATCTCATAAATGTAATATACCCATCTACTGGGTAAAGGCCTACTGTGTACAGAGGAAGGTATTAGGGAATAATTCACCGCGCGACCCAATCGCAGATTGGCAGTATTCAAATAAATTCGAAAAAAAAAACTGATAACGATAAAAACGTGATAGGCAGAACTTAATATTGCATTGTTGTTATGTATCAAAATTATTGAACTTTTGTTAATCGAGCCACAAAATATTCCATAAGAGAATATTTTTTATCCGGACTTATTATTATTTTGACTGATTACGTATTATAACGGCGCTTGATTATTAGGTGTCGGACAAACCAATCGAGGTCCGGAATTCGGTCGACGAACTAGTAAGATCTCTTAGCGGTCGGTCGAAATATTCAGGCGGAATTCGAGTTTTAGACGAACGCCTGAGTTGCCAAGTGAAGTGAGCACTCTCGGAATTATTCGGACGCGAGTTACAAAACACAAAATGCAAAATTCATTACTTTTCGTGTTGGAGTGTCCAATGTAGCGGGCCACGGTCTTGCCAATGTGGCACGAAGGGGCAGACAGACTTGTCCCGGGAAGTACTAGGGAAAGTAGAGATGATATGACAGAACATCGGCATGAAGTGGGAGTGTTGTTACACAGTGTGGCAACGCATTTGCAAACGGGCGTTGCAGATGTTGTTAACGGCGCCTATGGACACCTTCAACGCCCGTAGGATTGCAGATGTGTTGCCTTTTAATAAAGAACGTCACGGTTAACTCACTCACCAGACGAAATGTAGACTTCACAGTGGTCTTCTGTGAGGTCGTGGTACTTACCCGGACGAGCCTGCCCATTCGTACTGCAGAAAAGACTGCTGCATATCCCTGGCACTGTTAATTGTGGTGTGTTATTCTCTAAGGCTTGCTCTTTATTTTATTGCAATGAGTACACATACACTTCAAGAAGGTAGAGCGATCTCCGAGAAATTTTCGCCTCCTGCCGGACCTTGAAAGTAACACTAACCGAAGCGTGAATAAAGAATGTGAAGTTACCGCTGTTGATTCTTTAAGATAACATCTTGATCACACATCACAAAAAAATCTTAATCAACAAGACTCTGTAAACAAAATAATATACACTTTTTAGAGACAAAATTATATTTTCTAAACTGAATATCAATCTAAAATGCTTGTTGCGTTTTACAGCAAATTAAGTGAGCAAATCTTACGTCGCTTTTAAATATAATAAAAAAGAAAGTAAAAGTTGACAGCCCTATGCAAATAGTATTAATTCACAAGTTGTCGACTTTTGCTTTCGATAGAGATAGTGTGTGTGACAACTGGGTCGCTTTCACAATGCGTGTGTTAATTTTCCCCTTTTTTTTCTTCCAGCTCGGCTCGAAAGCCTTTGATTATGCGTTAACGATTACGACAGACTTAGACATAGCTACGTATGGCGGCCGTTGATACTACTCATTTATGTGTTTACGTTTTAAGCATATTAAACGAATTAATGGTCATTGGATATACTAAATATAGTAGTTGTATCTAATGTTGCAAGTAATGCTTACTAGTTTACCTCCTTTTACATTAAAGAAATATTACTTTGCTTCACGCCTACCATAGCTATAAAAATCTTTCAATTATTATATGGTTTTTTTAACGGGTTCTACTATTGTACGAATAGAACGGTTGATCCTAGAAATCATCACAATCACACGGAAGAGCTGCGTACTGGAGAAGTTTTAATACTTCTCCATTTAATTTGTGGGGTGAGGTAACCGGGGTCACCTCGTAAGGCAACAACCGCGAGGCTTGTCGAGGTCCACGACAATTTTTTTTTAATGTCAAAAATGTAAAAATGGTAGTAAATACTACTGGGCACGAGCCACTAAGCTAAGCGTTCGACCACTTATCTTAGTGACTAGAGGGTCTGGACGCGCAACCCGGAAGGTACAGGCTCGAGTCGGTGACTGCGGCGAAATACTTTTCGCGCATTTTTTTTCTACTAAAATTTAATTATATTACAAGACAGAAAGCCAAAATAAATTATCAATTTTCGGCCTTTCACATCCTAAGCCCGGCTGTTTCCGTCGAAAGCGTTTGCTTTCGACGCGACAGTCGATCGTAAATCCCGTAACAATAGCTAACGGTTCGCGTGAGTAGACCACGCGAGACTGAAGGCCGTTGAGCCTCATTGACCACGGCGAAGCCAATTAACACGATTACAATCGTTTTGCCTTTTCCGAATGACTTAATCTTCACGAACACAAACATAGACTGTAGACTTTCTAATCAGTTTGCATTGCTCTTTGTTTGTCTGTACGTATTCCGGCAGATTATTCTTTGACCTTTGAGTTTCTATCGTGATTACTAGAAATCATAGTGTTTTAACTTCTTTTATTACATATATATCTATACTCTTCAACATGTTAAATGACAGTTGATTTCCGTTTTTATAGTGTTATACTTTCGCGTTTCGTCTGGTGACTGAGTAACCGGAGCCCACTTTTTTAATGGTTGGCAACGCATCTGCAATGGTAAGTTCTTTCAGGTGCCCATGGGCGGTGGTAATCACTTATCATCAGGTGAACCGTCTGCTCGTTTGCCAAATTTTCACATAAAAAACACCCAATAAGAATTTCAATGTTTAAACTTCAAGCATAAGTTCTACAATAAGATCAATATTATTAAAGGTTTTCCCATTCGGAAGCGAGTCTAACCTATATTGTAACAGTTGCTCATTGTATTACTAACGGTTATAGATTTAATAGTACACTGTAAACCTGTTGCTAATAGATATTACTTAACGCAAAAAAGGAGCATAAACCATTAACTGTTTACGTAGAAAGCAATAAATTTGAAAGGGAAGCAATAACTCTCCTCGTGTTGTGTTACCACACCCTCTTCAAGCTATCGTCTAACCTGTCCGGTAACTCAGAGCCGGTCGATAATGTGTTAGAAAGGGCGGCTGAACAGTAATTATAGTGTGAAAATTATCATAACTGATTTGTTGTCACTTTAAAACATAAAAGCGTTTATTAATGTACAACGCAAGCATGTTTCGTGTAGAAGCATTGCCTTATTTTTAAATGCTTGGAAAATCAGACATTCATGGTCATTACTGTGGAGAACCCAGAACTTGTTACACAACTCACCGCGTGTGTAATGCTTAGATCGTACATTCACCGAAGCAAAGGGATTCTTATGAAATTAGATATTTGCATGTCGAAATCAATTTCTTAGCCGTCTCTTAGTCGCGGCGGGAAGTTCGATTTCCTTTGCTTGCACAATTCATAAGAACCCAAAGCGGATACAATATTGAACAGGTATATGCGGCTATTACGAGATTTTTTTCTTTAAATTTTCCACCTTGATTTTATTGGTTTTAACGTTAAAACATTTCAGCTTTCACCATAACACATGTATTATCGCTCCGAATAAAACTATTTGATCGTTCACATAGTTAAAATATATTACTTCCGAATTTTCTAACACCGTTATAGGTCACTAGCGACAGTTAACAGTTATGACGACAACAACCACCTCGATCTTGCCAAGACCGAGTTCTGGAAACGTTGCGAGTCGACAAGCGAAACGTTGACGGGATGCAATCGTAATTGAAACGTGTGTGTTTGCATAATTATATAAATGATTTCTTCTCTCGATCACAGGTAAACACCTTGTACTGTCAACGGACCCGGAGTCCGTGAAAGATGAGTTCGCCTTCGACAACCCTGGCTTCAGACAGGATGAGAGACAGGCGTGGCGCCACGAAGCACCTACCCTCCCGCTCGGCGGGAAGACCAGCGCGCTCCAAGCGGAGTTCACGCGGCCGGAACAGAGCAAAGACGACTCTTACCTACAGGTATGTCTAATTGTTCGTTTAAAATACTGATATGAACGAAGCTCGCAACACGATTTTCATACTTATTTTATTCTGGACAGAAAATTGAATCGGAAGTTACTTTTTAGTTAGAACTTTTAAGTTAGTACAATAATTCCCGAGAAATAGAATTTGTCTGTCATGTTTTCTATCAAGAAACGGCCCATCAATATTAGTTAGTAATGTAAACCCAACCGCTTCTATAACCGCTTTATAACGTTCTGACAGACAGGAGCTAGGGGCTTGTTTTACAATGTGTTGTGATACAATACCGAGATATTAACTTAGGTGGTAACTTACGAACGTGTTAATTTCTTGTAAAATTTTGACGTTTCATAAGAACGCGCAAGCGTCTATGTGAATAAAGATATTTTATTATTATTATTATATTGGCAACTGTGCGTACGTGTACATTTGTCCTCTTTAAACCTAGGTCAAGTGTTCGCATGCTCAATATCTTTTAAATATTTAGAAAGTCATATTAGTAATTCAGTTGAGGTTTAATGACGGATTGATTTCCAATCTTACAAAAGGACGTTGCAAACATAAGTTTTTCGTCTTCTCGCTTATGACTTCCGGGATATGAGGTAAGAAGTCACTCGAAGTAAGAAGGAATGGAACGTTAAACGCGTTATATCAGAACGATTTTTTCAAATTGAATGTTAGGTAATATACATATGGAAAGGTACTTAGTACTTGTGTTGCACAACTGTCACGTAACGTAAGATGTGTTTCCTCATTACTGCTGAGTGTAACTCTGATTTGAAAAGAAATCGATTATAAAAATCCTCCGTCACGTTTGTTGATCATGTTATATATACAAAATAAAACAATATGCAAATAAAACATCCCTACAGAAAAATCAGATTATTATGTTTTTAAATTTCAGATCATTAATTAACTAAAAATGCCTCGCGGTTCGGTTTATAACCCTGATCATCACGGTACCGTTGGATTATGCCATTTTGGAGCGACATCACTACTTTTTTTTTTAATGTTAGAATGTGGCAAACGAGCTGGCGGTTCACCTGATGGTAAGTGATAACCGCCACCCATGAATATTTGCAACACCCTTAGGTTTGCAAATATGCTGCCACCTTTAAATAAAGTGGGCCCCGGCTACCTCACTCACCGGACGAAACGCAGAAGTGTAACACTTCTACTTTACGCCTGTCTCCTGTGAGGTCGTGGTACTTACCCTGACGGACTTGCCCATTCGTACAACAGTGAATACTGTTGCGTGATTCTATCATAGTTGAATGTTCTATTTGATTATTTGATTCAATGTATAATATTAATTCGTATAATATGCTTAAGACAAAAAATAATTCACAACTATCGAAATAAATGGAGGGGTTTCATGTTTTGACAACATTCATTGACAATCAATTACTACAAGCCGTTTCCTTGATTACCTTAGCGGATTGCACAACTTTAATGTCGTGCACTGCACGCGTGCAATACCTCTGCATTCTCCAGAGATTGTACGGGCGTTGCACGCGTTATTGTATAACCGGAAGTGCCAGCGCGTGATTAAAACTCTGCTGTTTCGATAGTCTCATGAAAATCATGCGATGTGCTGAGCCATGCCGTTTTTACCCGACTGCTCCAAAAGGAGGGTTATATTTTTCGAGAGTTTGTATGAGATATGTATAATTGTTTGACACGCTCTGCAACCTGAACGGATTGATGAATTTTAGCTTGAGAGGTGTCGTTAGATTCGCATTTACTGTGAGAGTGACACTGGGTATATTAAAATAAAAAAATATGCAGAAACGCAGTCGGGTTTTTAGTTTTTGAAATTATATTCTACTTGTTAAAGTTATACTTCGTTACGTACGTTCAAAAAATATGAGAGTAACATTTTTACTCGTATTAGTAACATTTAACTCAGTAATATGTGGTTTTTTACATTACCTACCATACGGTTAATCGGATGATAGGGATTGACCCGCATCAAATTTCATTTGCCAAGGTGTCTAGCGAATTGAAATTATTGAGAGTCTGCAAAGAACTAGCCAGGACCCGCATAAAACAGTGGATGTGGTTTAAACTATAAAAATAATTCAGTTAAATTTGTTGTTGATTAAAAGTATTCCACGATTACGGCTTGAAAGGATACGAAGGACCGTACACACAAACTATAGCATTTCTAACATCACTGCTGCGTGCCCTGATAGCGTCTAGTCTGTCAAACGTAAGCTCGAGCCAAGACACCAGCCCGTCATTACTGCATACCTCCGCATATCCTTTCGCCTTACCCGCAATAATGACGCAATCCCGATCTGCATTCCAGCGCCGAAGCGTAGCAAATCGCCCGGGTACAGTCGGGCGCATCAACTCCGCGATGTTGACTCTTATTACCAGAGCTTAGGGCACGAATGATCTGGTTGGGTACGCTCAACCGCCCATCCACGTATAATAATTTGAGTTTAATCATGTAGTGTAGAGTTACCGCAGGATCTACATAAAACGTTATATAAAGCACAAGCCAAGTTTTATGCTTTGGTAGTGCCTTTCGTTGCTGGTATGTGCAATTGTCTTCATACACGCGTCATTATTTTAAGTCAATAGAAATATACACATCAAAAGAACCTTAGCAACACGATAAAATATTTGCTATATATTTGCTTAAATAATTTACAAAAATTATGTTCAGTGTCGTGCTATGTGCAAACTTTTCAATCTGAAAATTCTGGCAGATTTTTGAAAAAAAAATTGTCATTTCCTTTCATTTGTATATGGGTTGCTTCGTTGCGAAGTTGAATGGTATTAATTGAAAATTAAGACTGTTTTTATCTTTATCAACATTTATTGTTTTTATACATTACATAAACCTAAAAAACATTGACATAACGTTATGCAGTGTAGGATGCCCCCCACTAGATGGAGTGACGTCCTGTACAAGTGTGAGGCAGCCGATGTTCAGCAGTGGACTTAAATGGTCTGAAATGATGATGATAAATACGTTATGTGGCGACGAAATTTCATTCGGTCAGTAAATAAGCCTAGTTTGGTAGCTATTTGTTTTAGGATATCAGATCGGATAGCTAGGAAACCGGCAAAACGATGATAATCGTTCGTAATTCGACCCCAAAGACCACTGTTTTCCCTTTCATCAAATGATTAAGAAATGAGGTTGAGAACGTATATTTTTCTAAAGTCTAAATGGAATTCCTTAGTCATTCGTCCCAAAAAAGAAGACTTAATTATGAAATCAATTTACAAACTGCTTTGAACATTAACATTTATTACGGACAGTTTGGCCTAGATGACAACTATTTGGTTAATTTACTTTTAATTGTGTTCACGGGAAATCTTGGAACATTTAGGCTGCGTGATAATATCTTGTTTGTTATAACTGTTATAATAAACGGATTGGTTTATAACGCATTATAAGTTTCGAAGCATATATGATGAGCTCTGATGCAGAATTTGGCAATTTTTTATGCAATACTTTTTTATTATTCATGAATAAATATCGCATATCCTAAACGGACAAGAAGAAATTGCGAGTATCAGAGCAAAATCTTGCGACTAGTTTTTATAATAAAAGCATTAAATTCTCTTGACAATTGACTTTTATCGCACTAAAACTAACTCTCATAACTCTGAAAATAGCTCCAGAACTGATAAAGTGCGATAAAACACATTTCGATATATTAAATGCGACTTCCACCGCTCTGTAATGACCATCGGCACGTTTCCTGGACGGACAAACTACCCCAAGCTTTGTGTCACACGAGCCAATTATGTTGTCACCCCGATGTCCATAATAAGTAATCTATCCCACGCCAATGTATCTAAGTGTAAATCTGGGTTTTCTAAATTCTTTTACTACGACAATCAGCAAATCAGCAGTTTTAAATCTAATCTATGTAAAAGTAAAAGTAACAGCCTGTACATATCCCACTGCTGGGCAAAGGCCTCCTCTTTTACGGAAGGTATCAGGGCACAGTCCACACCGCGGCCCCACTGCGGATTGGCGAACTTCACATATTTTCGAAATAATTTTTTTTTGTTATTATTTTGAAAATATGCAGGTTTCCTTCGCCGTTGAGCAGTTGATAAAGTCAGCACTTAAAATTAACAAATTCATTGGTGCTGGCACTGGGGATCGAACTCAGATTTCTCGAGAAAATTGAATTAAAGATGAGCGCCCGGATACTGAACTATCACGGCTCTAATCTATGTACTAGGGACTAAGATGGTAAATTCCACGTGGACTATGCTCTAATGCCCTCTGTACAGAGGAGGCCATGCCCAGCTGTGAGACAATTATAGGCTGTTACTTTACTTAACTTTTATGCTAGAGGCATAAAACTCCAACTGGTCACTGAAAAGGTTGTATCTTCACTGGCGAAAAGGTTGTATCTCTGCGAACTTGTTATTTTTTTTTTATCTCTTACGACCTCTTTAAACCGAATAGCTTTCTCAAATCCGTTGTTTAATGTCGTCCGGCCATTTATACTCTGACGGACCTGTGCCTCTCTTATCTCTTATAAAAAAAGCACTCGAGAGGCTCGTCCCCGACAAATGCGCGAATAGGCAGTTACCGTTTTAAAGATATCAAAGAAGTTACTTAATTAAATGACTCTAAAAAAAAAACCTCTTTTGCTTAACAGATTAGTCTACAATTTCACCGCGTCATATTTCTAAAACAATTCTTAATTTTTGAGAAAAAAAATCGTCAACATTGGTATAAAACCTATATATCGCTCTTTTCTGTTTTAAGTATTTACGCTAATTTGTTAATATATCTGAAAATATTTTTGCTTAAATCGTGACACGAATGTAGGAGTAATAGTTTCACCGTGAAGTTTTTTTACTAATTCAAACAAAAAAGCTTTAATCTAAGCATAAACATCATTGATTTTTGCGTTCCTCCGTCCCCATACATTTTAGTATGAAGTATAGTATCCCCGTCATTCGGTATATAACACTGTACGCCGGGTGGGAAAAATTCAGTGCCGTCTCAGTTT